CCAACATTTTCTCTCATTATTCCCTCCCAAATCTTATCCACCTAAAAAGAAATAGAAAAACAAACTATCACCTAGAAAAACAAAAGAACTAATGAAACTAGATTTGGGATGAAGGACACTAACTCAAATTACCCTGGTCTGTTGTGCAAAGAGCTTTAGAACACTGTCCTAACATTAAGAACTGATTCTGGATCACTGGTATGAACATCTGTAAACAGACACAAAGACGTAATTACAAGCTATCAAGAGCTAAGGAAACAGGAGCTACCACGTAATTGCCATTGTTTCAATCTGAGTTACCACTTCTTCACCTCAAAACAACTGGCAGCCAGGGTACAATTAACTCTCCTTACTGCAAAACATATATCAAAACAGTGGCAAAATCAGATTAACTTTAAGTCATCTAATGCAGTGCAAAACCACTTACCCACAACCCCAACAGCAAGTGGCATCAGTTGACTTTCTAAGTTGTCCGCCTTTCAGAAGAATTTGTCCAAAAGAAACCAAAGTTTAAGAAAAAAGTCACTGGTACCCTAGATTATAAGGATGGCTCAGCTCCAAAATTTCAAATTCACTTAGATTTGCAGATTCTTTTCCCCAACACAATCAGTAGCCATTGTAGAAGTCAAAGGCTTCTGTCTGTGTTCAAGTCCCCTCCTACCCATCCACCCTCTTTCAAAAATTAGAAAAGAGCCACCAGTCTCCAAACTGCCTGATGAAATTTCAGCCTACAGAATATTTCCATACTTGAGTTATATATAATAAGCCATTGAAGCAAAAATGAATAGTAGTAGCTTAATAACCCATCAGATAGAGCAGGTTATGCCCAGCACTGACATATGAAAGTCCAAAATCTTTAACCTGGCTTCAAACTACATGCAAGCATACACACACACACACACACACACACACACGCACCTACCTCACTACCAATTTTCTACTCCTTTGGAAAACTCTTTGGTATAGATAGTGGAGTCTATCGTTGCCTGGTTGTAACTATTCACTTTAGTTATTTGCTTGCTAAGATGTTCTCTCTGCATTCAAGTTAGAATTCAATAATACATGAGTCTTAGCAGTGATGGCGTACTTTTAGAGCTTTCAATAACAAAAAGGCCACTGCGGCACCCGTGCCATAGGTTCGCCACCACTGGAAGCCATTCACTATATCCTGTTTAGCACAGGACTGCCCAGAAAGCTCTATTCAAGTTGGTTTTTAACAATCCATCTATAGGTGTTACTGGAGTACTAGGACTTAAAACAGGTGACAGTCCTCAGTTTCTGATTTATCTCACCAAACTCAAAAAAGGTTTTAACCTTTTTTTCTGAGTTTAGTACCAAAACACCAAGCAACACTTAAATCTCTTAACTACTGGCCCAAAAGGCTGATTCACTTAAAGAACACACTCATCACTGTTGTAGGGTTCAAAAGAACTCCAAAAGGCATATTCCCCAGCCCACTGTGATGTCTCAGACTGCCAGGTCAAGGAGTCATGCTTAGGTGTTTCAAGTGAATAATATGGTCAAGGTAAGCCTCAAAAGTAGTAGACTATTGAAGATGAATGTCCCGAACAGAAGGCAAAAGTAGGTTACATTCGTTGGTCACATGCCAACCCAAAGATGCCAACAAAGTGGAAATGAGTCCCACAGTGGTCATTATTGTAATCCACTGAACGAACTTTTAGCACCAACCTACATCTCAGCTAAGTGTTATTAGTCATCAGGAGGACGAACAAGAGTGGAATTACTGCAATATAAACTTTGCTTTATATTGAAACATAACTTCAAACTGAGATCTTCACGGTCACCTTTGTAACCAAACAGGGGCATATTATTACCATGCTCCCAATCCTTCAACCTTAAGGTCACAGAGATGGAAGACTCATACTACCACACACTCAAAGTAGTTATACAATTTTAAATAGCAGCATAAGACAAATAAGGAAAAATGTGTGCCCTCAACTGAATATCCCACTTAGTTTGAAACACCTAGTAGATTTATATGCCAGAAAAGGCTCAGGTGATCACTGTCCTTTTTAAATGCACCTGCAAAAATAATAAGTGATAAGAACCTCAGAAAGGAAACAGCTAGGCATGGTAGTACATACCTGTAATCCCAGCACTTGGGAGACTGAGGCAAGAGGACTGTTGCAGGTTCAAGGCCAGCCAGAACTACACAGTGAGGCCTTGTCTCAACCCACCCCTCCACAAGCAAAGAAAGGATACAGAATTTATCAGAAAGGAGCCTTATTGTCTATTTCCTCTTCCTTCTTGCTCTTGTCTACTTATCCTGAGCCCCACAGCTTCTCTGACCCTGTGTCTTTTCATTCAACTTTCACTCACTTGGTTCTGGATCTTACAGCCTACTAGTGTCCCCTTCTTCCCAGTCCTTGGAACTGGTCAACCTAATTACACAAGTTTCTGCACTAGCTGTTCCCAGAACTTTGTAAGTCTGCTCCTCTTACTATGATTGGCTCCTATTAAAGGCCAGGGATATAGCTTAGAAGCACAGCGCCTGCTTGGCAAGTGCAAGGTCCTAAGTTCAATTCCCAGTACCAATAAATACATAAATAAATGAAGTTCAGTATAAGTGTCACTTCCATTTTATTGTTTTGTTTTATTTTGGTTTTTTGAACAGGATCTCACTAGATAGTCCAGACTGGCCTTGAACTCACTATGTAGCTCAGGCTGGCCTAGAACTCACAATCTTCTTGTCTGTTTCCCAAGCACTGCAATTACAGATGTGTACCATCAGGCCCAGCTAGGTCTTTCTCTACTGTATTGCCATTAGACACTTTCTATCACATCACTTACTTTCCTTAGTACTTAATCAAAATCGGGTTTATTTGCTTATTATTTGTTTCTGTCCCACCCCCTACTCAAAGTTTCTTGAGAACAGACCTTTTGCTTAACCTTTATACACCCAGTGCCCAAAACCCCAGCTAGCACTTAGTAGTCAGTCAATAAATGCTTGCTGAATGAATGAATTTTGAGCTTTTTATTGAATAGTAAACTAACAAGGTTATGAATAAGAACAGTAGTCATTCTTTCATTGTATTTCTGTGAAATGCCTAAACAGTTACTTGTACAATCAAGCATTAAATATTCTATTTTATCAGGCCTGAAAGCCCTGATAAATAGGACAGGACTCTTCTCAGCATCAGAAGAACATCTGTTATGATAATTCTTCTAGCAGTTTGCTTATCCAGCTCAGTTACAGATGGACAGGATTTATGCACACTTTCTAATCAAAGTACCCCCAAAATGTAGGCATTAGCTCTCAAAGTTATTAAGAAAGTTTCAGATTTGACAAATTTCTACAAAAATAAACACCAAAACAGGAATCATTACCCTTCATTCTGAAATCCATGACAGGCTAGATAGAGTCCTACTTGGTAATTCTTTTTTAGTACAACAGAAAATCAACAAAGAATCCTTCCTAATCTTTGCTTTCTTCAATTTTTTCCACATCTATTATTGGTTTGTATTCTTTTTAAATACAATACAGATCACAATGCCTCATTTAACACCACCTGTACACAAAGGACCCGCTAAATAAGATGAAAATCAGCCCCAGTCCATTGTGTCACTGAAGATCTGTGTGCCAGACATACTAACAGAGAAAAAGATTAAAAAGCTATTTCCAATTGTAGAAACAAAAAAAGTAATATGGGGTTTTCTGCTCTCTGAAGCGCATCATGAAGTGTGGGCGGAGAGAAACAGAAATCCAGAATTAGACTAACATCAAATCATTTTGGAAAGAGTTGACAATATGTAAATTCTCACACGTAAAGTATTTACAGCAAGAGACCTTGATTCTCAGGCTATGATACCATTCAGGATTCCCTGCAAGGGCTATGGAATTCTAGTATTCATAAAATAAAATGTTCATTATAATCGGGAGCTAAGAGGCGTTCAAACTCCCAATGTGAGACAGCTTGCAACTGAAGTATTACAAAGCTTGCAGTAAGATCTGGGATAGAGGCGGAACACCAAATTCGAAAGAGGTAACCAAGGTACTAAGTGACATAAAGGGGGTAGGGCTGCTGCGAATGCCACTCAGCCGGAGAATTAAAGTGGAAATGAGGGGTGTGTGTGGGGAAGGGTGAGGGGGATGGAAAAAACAATACATTTATCACCCCATCCCACTTCCTATACAGGATACAGGCAAAACCTCCAGCCCCATTACCTCAGACACAGATGGTTATCGCTTACAGCAAAGGTGCACAGAAAGGCCTCCAGGTCTGAGCCCCTTAATTCCAAGGCTGTTAACGATTAGAGAAGGGTGGGGGTGGGGACGGAAATGAGGGCGGAGGGAGCTGGAGATTCACCCACCACCACCCCTTGGGCTCCTACCTCACCGCGCCGAGCCGGGACGTGGGACCAGAGCCTGCACCCGCTCCAGGGCAGCTCCGGCCCCGCAACCCGAGGCCCTGGGTTGAGGGGTGCTGGCGGTTGGGAAGCAGGGACAGTGGCTAAGTTTTCTGAGCCCCGCTGCTGACACGCCACAGGCTCCCCTCACAGCCTCTTCTTCCAGAGAGACCCGTCCAGACAAGGCGCTGATTTCCACTCCTCCCTTCCACCCCTCTTTTCTCGAAGGAACCCAACCCCCGCCCCTTCATCTTCAATGCTCTCCCCTTTTCCTCAACTCCCCCCCTCCCAAACTCACAGCTGCTCCAGAGGTTCCTCCAGTCAAACCCTTTCTGGAAACGACGGCGGCCTGGCGGATCCAAACCACCTACCATCCCCGCTCGCGTTTCCAGGCTCCCTACCCCCGCCGCCGCCGCCTCTTCCACCACTGCCGCCGCCTCCTCTTCATCTGCGGCCCACCGGCGGCGACCGTCCCGAAACCCCGCCCCCTCCATCGCCTCCTGCATCATCACTTCCGGTAACCCCGCCAGCCGCCAGCTCCAGGAGAGAGACGGGAGGGGGGCGGGGGAAACGGGTGGAAGATTACGTCACGACGTACGCAAAGACGGTACGAAGCCGTCGCCAAGTAAGGGCAAAGACGTAGCCCGTGAAAGGAAGGGCTGGGCGGAGCGGAACTATACCATTTTTTTATTGGAATGAGGGAGAAACATAACCAAAAGAGTAAAAGGAAAATAGGGAGAGGATGAGATTGGTTATATTGTTGGATACGACGGAAAATGGGGTAGAGTAGAAAGTTTAGAAAGTCTCTACACTACCCCTGACCTGGAACTGATGCTCCCACAGACGTCCTCCCAGTGGTTTGGTCTGGCCTGGTTTACCGGACCTGCGGATGCTCAGTCGGCTGGTGTTCAGCAAAACTCCTGGTGCCTCCTCCGCCCATCCCGCCAGGGGTTGCTGCGCTTCTGTGGGTGGGGGAAGGTAGGATTGACGCAGAGGGAGTGTAAGGGATGGAGAGGCTGACTCCAGGCGCGGGGGGCTGGGGGCAAGGGTTGGCTCCTCAGGGACTGGGATGGGGTGGGGGTGGGGTGCAGCGTTGCTAAGAGACGCGCCTGTGTGACCCCAGCCTCAAGAGGGCGGCACGGCGTCATCGCCCCTGACCTCAGGGACCTGCCTCGAGGAAGTGGCACGTGGGCCAAGAAGGGGAGGCCTGGTTTGGGGTCCATCTTGAGACATTTATGAAACTTTTGGATCCCCCAATATAAATGGGAGATGGTGAGAGCAGTTCCAGGGAAGAGGTCGGTCTAAACTAGTACCTATTGCAAAAACGAAGACTTTCTAGGACAGTGAGAGCCAGCTCTATTAATTCCGTGGGTCAACAAACTTGAGATTAAGAGGAAGGCCTTGCTCCTTTTCATTCGAAGAGGAGTGAGTTAACAAGTAAACCAATAAGTATCAATAAGTGAGAAATGTCTTCCAAAGACCGGGTAAAGTGATAGAAGACATGGGAAAGGGCCACCCTAAATCGGGGAGGGCTGGTCAGAGGGGGCCACCAACTGGGGGGAATCCAAGAGAAAGGGGAAATGAGCTGTGTAAATGAAGATAAAAGTCAGTGAGATTGAAGCAGAAAGGCGCAAAATGTTTTGTGATGAAGCTGGAGACGTGGTGGGACCTGATCAGAGCCTTTTTTCCCAAGGGTAGAGTTTAGCTGTTGTGTTACCAAAGGATTTAAAGGATAGTGACCTGACCTGATTGACATTTTTTAAAAAAAATCACTCAGTCTGCTGGGTAGATAAGGGATAGTCAGACCTGTTAAGAGGCTGTTCCCATAGGCCAAGGAGAGATGACTGCTAGTGTTCAAAGAGTCGTGGCTGTGGAAGAGAATTTGATTCAGAAAGTATTTTGGAGGATCAACTTGCAGGACTTGGTACAGTATTAGATGTGAAGTGTGTGGGAGAGGGTTTTCCGAAGGGAAGACAATTTGAAAAAAATATATAGTAAGTGTGAAAAGTCTCTTAACAATCCAAAAGAAAAAAAAAAAATCCAAAAGAAGATATCGAGAAATTAATAACGTTAGGGGGAAAGTCATAATTGGGGCTAATAAATGTGGAGGTCTATTTCTAGATCACATTAGAAGAAGGTTCCCAAACTTCCCCGGGCTCATAAAATTTAGAAATTGCTCAGGGAAGGAAAAGCTGGCAAAGGAGACTTGACATAGACAAGGCCTCAAAGATACAGGATGAGGCAGGTCCCTTGATACCCTAGAATAGTGGCACTAACCCTCATAATCTGTGAGACCCATCCTCAAAGGCCTGGCTCAAATTTTTTCCCTCCCTCTTCTCCCAGCTGTCATTGCTTTTGGACTTGTGCACAGGTAATTTGTGTCCTTAGAAAACAAATGTTTATTTGCACGTCTGTCTTTCTCATGGATTATTGTGTCTTTCTGGCTTTAGTACAGACCCTTACCCATAGGTTCCAGCACGGTTTGGGCTGGGCAGGAACACAGTGTTCATAAGGTATCTGCCATGGAATTTAGTAGCTTCTTTTTTTTTTTTTTTCTCCGGTACCAGGAACCAAACTCACGACCTTGCGCTTACCAGGCAGGCGCTTTTGCCGCTGAGCTAAATCCCCAGCCCCGGAATTTAGTAGCTTCTGACAAAAGGTTTTTTGTCTCTGTTGCTCCAGCCAATGGCACCACAGTTGTGGTCATACTCATAATATAGTGGAGAGGGTATCAGAAAAAGAATCAGAAAAGCCCGGGTTTCACTTTTGGAACTGCTACTGACCAACAAAACAGAGTAGATTAGAAGTTACAAAATGGTAAAACAGATATTACCTGCATGCATATTGGTCAACCCACTAAGTAATTTAAATTCTTTAAATTTATTTGCCAACATTTAAAAATTGGACACAAAATCAATGATTACCTTCATTTGAAAAATCAATCTCACACCAACCTGAGGTTGCTAGAGGTTGCTACATAACAGGAGTCAGCTGAAGCTAAAGAATTGCTTTCCCTTTTTTGTGTGGCTTATTCCCCAAGTGTACCAAAGGCCTCTTCTCTCTTGCTCTCACTGGCTGACCCTAGTGGGCATCTGGTTTGTAATTCTTGGTCTAGAGCTATGTTGTCCTTGTGTGCCTGCAAGCCAGTGTAGGTATTTAAATAAAACAATTCAGTTTCTCAGACACACCGCATTTCAAATGCTCAAAGCATTGTTTTGGCTGTGCTAGAGATTGAGCCCAGGGCCTTTCCACTGAGCTACCTCCCTACTGCTTTTTAAATTTTTTATCTTTGAGACAGGGTGTTACTAGTTGCCCAGGCTGGGCTTGAGCTTGCAGTCTTCCTGCCTTAGGCTCCCAGAATGCTGAGGTTACAAGAATATACTACCATGATGAGCAGAGAAAACAGTTCCATCACAGAAAGTTCGTTCCGGTCAGCCCTGGACTGGAGAAACTTGAGGGTACTCTGGGTGCAATTCATTCCTTGCATGTAAAAATGGGCAATCATTGCTCCTACTCTAAGAGGGTGTCGTCTAGTAAGGAGCTCCTGTACTCCTACAGGTCAGAAAAGTTGCTCATTTGATAGTTGATAGGTGGAGAATAGTTGGAAACTGTTCGGAAGACATGGTCCCCTGTGCCATGTTGGATCTGGAGTTAGATACTGGGAAGCCCCAGCTATATTTAATGTTATAATCAAAGCCCTTTTGCCAGTTTCCTAAATCAGTTTCTTAGAAGATTATCACAAAGCAGGAATCTAAAGCAGTGTTTTGGCTTTCTAACTTTCCTAGTCACTATGAAAAATGGAAGATTCTGTCTAGGGAATTATGAATGACTGATCTTTCACACTGGTCTATTTCCACCTGTTTCCAATCATCGGGGCTGGGGAAATAGCTCAGTGGCACAAGTGCCTGCCTGGCAAGCACAAGGTCCTGAGTTCGATTCCCAGTACCTAAAAAAAAGTCTTAACCCAATCATCTCTGACACCTATTTCTGGTAACTGGTTTGTACCACCTCTAGCTGACCCTTACCTTGTCTATGTCTCTTAAAATATGCTGATAAGAAAACAGGTACTTCAATTTCTTTTGAATTGAGGGACCATAATTTGATTTCCAGTTAGAATTTCTATCCCTGATGACACAGTATGTCTGTTGCTCAATGTACCTTGGTCAGAGTAGTCTCCTTGGAATTCAGCTATACAGGTATAGTCATGTGTGCTCCAGCGCTGGACTGATACACAGATGGTTCCCAACTAACTTACCAACGGTTTGACTTATACTTTCTTAACTTTAAAATGATATGAAAGTGATACAAGTTCATAGGAAAGCATACTCTGAATTTTGATTTTTCCCCTCTATTAGCAATATGTACTACAATAAATATTCCTTCTAGTGGTGGTCCTGGGCAGGACACTAGCTGTAGCTCCCAGTCAGCCATCCAAGTGAACAACCAAGGCTGTGATGTTTGGTAGGCAGGTAGGTATATTAAGTGCCTTTTCCACTTGAGATGTTTTCAACTTGTCACCAGTTTATCAGGATTTAACACCATTGCAAGTTGAGACATATCTGTATTTAGAAGGGCATTTGCCTCCTGTGATCTTGTTTGAGATAGTTATTTTATTTAATTTTTTTATTTTAAAAATAAAAGGAAAACATTAACAGACAGACGACCTTTTACAAAATAGCAAAAGAACGGTGCAGACAATACAGAGTTACAAACAAAGTGGTAGGACATTAACAATGCTTGTTGTGTTACATATTGATATGAGATAGTTATTTTAGAAGTCTTTCAGGTATTAGTATTTTGATTTTGCCCCTTGTTCTGAAAAATTTTCATACTCTAGACTCTAACTTAACATCATTTCCCTTCTCTGCCCTCTCTTCCCTGCCCCCTATCTCTGACGCACCATATTACTACTTTCTGTGTAAAAAGGTGCTATTTCAGAGAATAGCTGTGGAATGTATGATTAAGAATACCCTACAAGCATATCCTGAGATTTACAAAACTGTGTGGCATTATACTTCCCTTTTTGGACTCTAGTAACCAAAACCGAATGCAAGACAAAAAACAAATCCATGGTGGTGGTGGTGGGCAGTCTTGATTGATGGAAGGAAAGGACTGGTATGTGTGGGGCACAGTTTCATTTGAAGGTTATTTGATTGCAGTGACAGTGATATTGTATAGGATACTGGTATATGCTGAAAAGTGCTCTGAAAGATAAGATAAGATAAACAAAGAGTAAGAAATAAAGGAAGAAAAGTAGGAAGGAAAGCCTGATTGTGCCTTTGGTGTTGGCATTTGCATTAAATTTACAGTAAGGAGTATGCACTGTGGTCAAAGGAAAAGGGGTGTCTCCAACAGGGTTATTTACTCATACTGAAGAACAATAGCCGTTTACTGTACAGGGATTATTATTAATCAGAGGGAAACAGCTTTAGGAAAATCCACTACTACCACAAAGCAATAAATTCACCAACAGGCCATGCACTTTTTTCCTTTCTCTGCAGACAAACGTAGCATTCATAAATGAGACCTCATTGTTCCTTCATTTCCTCCTAGTCAGGTAACCTGTCCCTTTAAGTCCTAATGCTAAGTGGCTGGTGTTTTTTTGTGTGTTGTTTTGTTTTGTTTTTTGTTTCTCCAGAGCCTTCCTGCTGAACTATTTCCCCAGCCCTTTTTATTTTTTATTTTGAGACTGGTTTTACTAAGTCGCTTGGGTTAGACTCAAACTTGTGATCTTCCTGCCTCAACCTCCCAGAGTGCTGGGATTTCAGAGTATATCACTACATGTGGCTCCTAGCACTTAGTGTTTAATGGAGTAGCTCCTACAATAATTCCTACAACTTTTTGAAGAAAGTTCTGTTGTTACCTTGTACATTTTAAGGAACTGAAACTCAGATTACTAATTTGCCCAGTGAGGTGAAGTCAGGATTAAAACCTGAGTTTGCCCACCCAGGGGCCATAAATTTTTTGTATTATATCCTTATAAGTGTAGGGAAACTTTAATGCCCAAAACCAAGACAGGCATTCTCTATTCTCCTACTCAGAGCACAAAAGTATGCTTACTTTTAAAGTGTTCTGGGATCTTTACTAGAGAAATGTTCAAATACCATTACATGCATCTCGGAATAAGAATGGACATTACTGATGACTATTCTGTGTATGTGTAAATGTATTCTAACGTATTTTTAATACTTCCCTGTATACTACATGTAGGAGTGTAATGAATGAGACTCAGTCCCAACTGTCTTCCCCTTAACCCACCCTCCCACACACAAATGAAAAAAAGGTAGGCCAGATAAAATTATAATAGAGTATAATTTTCTGACGGGGTGTGCTAGAGGTGCCAGAGCTGCACATAGCAGGGGCACTGACTCAGTCTCAGTGTGAAAAAGTCACCTCTCAAGAAGTGATTAAAATCGAAGGATGAGAAGCAGCAGGAAGGTAAAGTTGCATAAGATGGGCCTTCACGTGGCAAAGAGGAGTCCTAGATTGAAAAAGACAGGGCAGTAGGACACAGATGTGCACCAGTGCACAATAAGTCATAACAGTCATTTTGTTTGGGTCAATTTTACAATCTACCTCCCCCCCCATACACATACCCTGCCTGCCCAAATTATAAAGTACTTGAGAGAAATTTTGGCTATACTGCAGTCATTAGTTGTGATAAGAAAAACAAATTCCTCCTGGGGTCATCTTTCTTAAAAGGAATGGAAAGGGGTCTTTCCCTCACTTCTGGACTTTAGAGTCAGGGTTAAGTCTTCTTTCCTCTCTTGTTTATCCTGCAGCACTTTTTCTTCAGTAGAAGGCAGAGCCTCATGAGAGTCCAGCATGTGGAATTTTGACATTCCTGAGACCAGAGTCATACTTCTATAAATTCCATCTGGGGAAAGGGAATTTTCATCTCTTCTCTTAAACTGCTCAGTGTTTGTGCTTTAGTGGACTTTTCAAAGGTGATAGTTGGCCAGTGGGTAGGGGGTGTCCATAGACAAGGAAAAAGTGAAGTTGATGAGGTCCCTAGAACTACCAAGTCCTTCCATTGGCCTGTAAAACCAGACTGGAACATACCAAGCACCTAGGCTCTATAAAGAGCCTTCACAGGGCTCTTTATTGTACTTACACCCTTAACAGCGAGTGGAAGGTGAATAGATTTTAGTTTTTGTTTGTTTTGTTTTGTTTTATGCCCCTTATGATTCTCCATCACTGACTCCAAAGTAGAAACAGAAAAGCTGTGGTCAGACAGGGAAATAGTTATCCAGTTTTGGGGAGTTTTGATCCTGACTTTCCTATTGGTAGTTTGGTGCATTAGGCAAGACACATATTTTCTCAGCTGTGAGAGTGGTAGAATCATAAGCAGTTATGATATAGTCTGAGTGC